AGAAAGAGGGGATGGGGGGCCAAAACGTCCAAAAAAAGGTGTAAGATTATATTTGAACAGCCCCTAAGCTTTAATTAAAAGTGATTGATGATCCTATGCTAAAGCATACTCATTCATTTTTTTAAAAACGTGAACTCATGAAAAAGACAGCATGTCTCAGTGGTAGATGTATTATGACATTTTAATGAATGATCTTGACAGGCACTATAAAGAATAATTTAAGATATTATATAAATTTACATGACACCTACTGTTGCAAAATATCTGTAGTCTGTAGGAACCAGCTCCTGTAAAAGTTGTAAATTATTGTTTCCAGTGGGCAAGCAGAGTTACAGGTCTTAATCCAGAGAGATTATAAACAATTTCATAGTCATAGTGCTGGACTTCTAAAATTAAAATCAGCCATTGGCAATATTGAATAGATCATGATCATGTAAAACATTTTACTCTCCACTTTCGTATGGATAAAACAATTTGAATTTTAGTAGTCAGGACCAACTGACTGAAGGGCCAGGGGCTACAGCTTTGTGATATAACTTAACTGGCTTTCTCCAAATGACGCACATGTAAGGGGTGTTACCGTAATTAGAAAAATCATACTGGTGTAGCATTACTAAATTCTACAGCTCTTTTTTCTTCTTTAAGGATTTGGTCCATATCAGCTGCTCAGTGTAAGACTCAGTCCTACGTCACTTAAAAAAAAAAAATGGTCCTTGGCGCAGTCAAAATGTCAATCCAATCAACCAAAGAGAAGTATCCTACATTAATATATATACTGAAGCAGGTAACATTAATCAAAGTGAAAGGAATGTCTCTAAAAATAAAAAAGTATAAGACAGTGTGGCCGGCCCAACCTGTGTTTACAATGCATTTTTTAAAATGTGTCCAGCACTGTAGGCCCTACTAGTACTTGGATTGAGATGGAATCTGGCATCAAATTTTAATTTTAGAAACAGTGAGCGACCTCTCTGGGCAGCATTTAACTTCACGGACTACAAGCTGATTGTTCCCACCAATAGAAGGTTCAAGTCCAAGATCAAACTATACATCATGTATGGCCTGACAAAGGATTAAGGGGGTGTAGCTATGGTCAACACCCAAATGCTATAGTTTTTGGTCTAACGCTTGCTTTTCTGCATCAAAGGAACTAGAACACCAATGAAATTGTTGTAAAGCAGGCCTGTGACATAATAGTTACTCAAATTGTGAGTTTCTTGAAGCAAAATAAAATCAACGCACTCTCAATCTGCGATTCCTCCAAATTCCAGGACTATCAAAAGTCGTTTCCAACAGTTCTTTTAGGATCGTTTACAGAAATACATGTAGCAGTAGCACTGTTTTGCTTAAAATCAAATTACAAACAGAATTAATAGTAGTAGGTCTACATTGCAATGAAAGATAATGTAAATCTGCTCAGTGTCGTATAATCCAGGGTCTTTATTCAACCCCGAAGGACTACAAATTCGAGACAACATTTAGAGACGTATGCAAAATACCAGAAATCGCACTGACGTTTATGTCCATCCATTAGGACATCATTGACAACATGCCCGACTTCATCAACAGAATAATGGACACTTTTGCTTTGCAAAAGAACGAAAGGAAAACTTCTTCTTCAAATAGATTTTCTCAAAACAGGTAGGATGAAGAAAACACCTAATTTACATGCCCTTGACTATCTTCACTCTGCTTTAACCTAATTGTGCACGCCCACTTTTTAGACCCACGAGCCACCCCTGATGACTGTAACCTACAACTTAGACTCGGACATTAGCCAAACCTGGAACTATAACAAGGTTTGACTGTTCTGTTGTATCAGCTTTGCCTTCTTTCATTCCTCCATTCCTCTTCCCATGTTAAATACAGCTACTCTTTAAGGTTTCAAATAATCATTCCCTCCTCCCCCCCCCCTCGGTTATTAATTTCATACCCCCTGTTTATTATTTTCCAGCTCGCAACGACCGACGATCATGTGAAACACTATCTCTAGAATCTAGATATTCTGAGTGAAACTTTTTGTTGTTGTTAAATGGAAAAGTTGTCACAGTAGACTGAAGGCTAATTTACTAAAATCAGTAAAATTTCACGATCTCTGGTTCTTTTATTCACTGATTTGTTCCTACTAGGTACTAGTACTAGTACAGGGTTATGAGGTTGAGTATGCCACCCCTCCCTTTTATATAAATTCCAATTCCCCCATTTATTAATTTTGGACCACTTGTCCATCCCCCCCCCTTCCCCCTTATTCGATACCTTGGAGTAAGGGGCCGTTCAAATGTAATCTTACGCATGGGAGGGGGGGGGGGGGTCGTCTTTGGCTCCTGTAAGAAAAGTGTAAGAAAGAGGGGATGGGGGGCCAAAACGTCCAAAAAAAGGTGTAAGATTATATTTGAACAGCCCCTAAGCTTTAATTAAAAGTGATTGATGATCCTATGCTAAAGCATACTCATTCATTTTTTTTAAAACGTGAACTCATGAAAAAGACAGCATGTCTCAGTGGTAGATGTATTATGACATTTTAATGAATGATCTTGACAGGCACTATAAAGAATAATTTAAGATATTATATAAATTTACATGACACCTACTGTTGCAAAATATCTGTAGTCTGTAGGAACCAGCTCCTGTAAAAGTTGTAAATTATTGTTTCCAGTGGGCAAGCAGAGTTACAGGTCTTAATCCAGAGAGATTATAAACAATTTCATAGTCATAGTGCTGGACTTCTAAAATTAAAATCAGCCATTGGCAATATTGAATAGATCATGATCATGTAAAACATTTTACTCTCCACTTTCGTATGGATAAAACAATTTGAATTTTAGTAGTCAGGACCAACTGACTGAAGGGCCAGGGGCTACAGCTTTGTGATATAACTTAACTGGCTTTCTCCAAATGACGCACATGTAAGGGGTGTTACCGTAATTAGAAAAATCATACTGGTGTAGCATTACTAAATTCTACAGCTCTTTTTTCTTCTTTAAGGATTTGGTCCATATCAGCTGCTCAGTGTAAGACTCAGTCCTACGTCACTTAAAAAAAAAAAATGGTCCTTGGCGCAGTCAAAATGTCAATCCAATCAACCAAAGAGAAGTATCCTACATTAATATATATACTGAAGCAGGTAACATTAATCAAAGTGAAAGGAATGTCTCTAAAAATAAAAAAGTATAAGACAGTGTGGCCGGCCCAACCTGTGTTTACAATGCATTTTTTAAAATGTGTCCAGCACTGTAGGCCCTACTAGTACTTGGATTGAGATGGAATCTGGCATCAAATTTTAATTTTAGAAACAGTGAGCGACCTCTCTGGGCAGCATTTAACTTCACGGACTACAAGCTGATTGTTCCCACCAATAGAAGGTTCAAGTCCAAGATCTAAACTATACATCATGTATGGCCTGACAAAGGATTAAGGGGGTGTAGCTATGGTCAACACCCAAATGCTATAGTTTTTGGTCTAACGCTTGCTTTTCTGCATCAAAGGGGGTGACATAGTACAAAAAAAGGTTACCAAGCAAAAAATTCAAGATTTTAGCAATGATAATCTCGAGCCATCAAAAATAAAGGATTGATTCAGCATTTTTAAAACCAATTTTATATTTTGTCAATCATCAACATGCTTCAAGATAGAAGCCTAATATTTGGCATGGCGATTACTGTTGGTAGGTAGAACAACCTTACAGAGCCAAATTTGAAATTTTTGTACTGACTTGTGAGCCTTACAGTCCTTGTTATGCACTACATTCAGGTCTCCAATATTTTCAGATTTTGTAAAATAAAAAAGGCCTAAAATTTCAAAGGTGTACCATAAAAAGAAAAATGCTACTGTAAGGTTATAGAGAAATGTGCATAAAAGATTGTGTCCAAATGTGAAACAATTATGACAGTAACTTTCTGAGATCTACTCAAAATAGTGTTGCAACCTGGTCAGATAAACAATTCTGAGAAAACTGCAAAGAGAGATAATTTTTGGTGAAGATTTTCCTACATTGCTACCTTTCTCAAATGCATTTTCCAGCTATTTCTAAGTTTGATAAGGAATTAGGCTTCTAAAGATGGATCCTTGATATTGATATCTATTAAGATACTCCAAAATCCGAAAACTGATATTTTTTTCAAAATTTTTACTGATCTGACCAGTGGATCCCCTTAATACCTTTGTAAAAATTTTAATGAACGCTACGATGGTACATGTAGCATGAGTATTGTACCAATATGAAATGGGAGGAAAAAATATAATAGGTAAAAATTAAACATTTACACACACACACACATTCACCAGTCATAAAAAAACACACAAGCAAGAATTTCAACCTGGAAAATTATCAAAATTTTCAAAACACTCCTCAGGATTTTTCATGATATTTTCTAAATCAAAGCTTTCAAACCAATCTTCAACATCAACATCCTGGCCAAAGCCAATCAGTTCCCCATTGTCAGTATCGACTCCACTGTCAAAACTTTCACAAGAATGAAATGAAGACACAGAAGTTTGAGCTTCTAAAGTGTTACAGTCAAAGTTTCCATCATCAGTAGCATCAGGGGTAGATGGTCTAGTTTCAATATGATCCTTTTTCTTGTTCTTCTCCCATGTTGAAGTAATGTCCTTGTGACAGAGATTGTGATCATGATCCTGAATATGTGAAGAATTTCCCACAGAACTGCTCTTGTAACCAGGAGAAGTGTCATGAATGTTTTCATTCAGGTAATCAAAACTGAAAGAAGTGGAGTTCTTTGTATTGGACTGGATGTCAGAGTGAAGTTTGTCACAAAGGTTGACAGTGGATTCACTTGGTGATACTGTAGAGGCAGCCCGCAAATCTATGTGCTCAAGAGGATGGCAAAGTACAGTATAAATAGTGACCGGCATTGGGGGTACTTCAGAAACAACATTATCCGAACATGTCATGTTCGATTTAGGAAGAATTGGTTTCAGTAAAACTTTGGGATACTTTTTTTTTGATGATTGACACACTGGATTCGAAATTTCAGCACTCTTTCTTTTATTCACTTTGCGCATTGATAAACCAAGATCCGTTTTTGGGGACATTAAAGTCTGATGTTTTTTAATGCTCTCAATTTTCTTGTGAATATTTTCACACTGATCTTTCAATTTTTCTAACATCTGTAAATTCTCTGAACCTATTACTTCCCCTTCACAATGGGACAGATGAGTGTCGACTTCAGAAATATTCTTTAAGTCTTTTTCAAACTTCATACGCTGCAATAGAATATTTATTTCTCCCTTTGAGTAAAGTGACAGTTTGTCTTTTTGATCATCTGAAAGTTTTTCAGAGTTGATGTTTTTCCGCAGAAAATCTAATTTCTTCCTTAGCGTTTCCTTTGAATCCTTCGGTGCAGCAGTGGGATTCTTCCACTTTCCAGCCTCTACTTCATTCCATTCACTTGGTATTTTATTCCATATTGTCTCTTGCCCATGTGTTCTTCTACTCAAAACCCGAGATAATTCTCGCACCATTGAAATGAGAAAGCCTTTCTCACAAAACTCTTCCATGACTGAACTGTTACCCACCGAGGGCATGAGTAACAATGTTCAGAAAATTCTAAAAACTTTTTGGCAAACGTTTCTGTTATCGTCTTGAAATCGCAAGTCGTTGTCACCCCCGTCTGACAACATTTTGGACATTCTTTTAGCGATGAGTCCCTCGCCTCTTACCAAGCAAACGACAATGCCACCTTTGTGTCTCAAAGGAATGTTACCTTTCAAATACAACTTTCTCAAACTGCATGCAAAATCCCTTTGCATTGAGGTTGAAGACCCGCAGGACATGGGAAGGTCCAAAATGGCTCTTACTTTGATCATTTCCACATGAACCAGGCACGTCTTTTCCATGTATACACCGAGACTTGGCATCTCAGCTCTTCTTAAGTTGTTGTTCCACTCCTTGATGTGACTCCGGCAAAACATTTTGCTTGGTACGCTAAAACAATCCCCAAAAAGGTCCTCCAACAATGTCATGGTTTTAGTGGTCCTGCCAACAACAAAAAAAAAGTCAATATGAGAATAGCAAACTCTTATTTCTATTTTAAAGGGGAGCTAAAAAGTTTGTTCTTTTACACATTATTTTCAAAAACTTTTTAGACTTTTAAACCTACATATATATGCACAAGCATTCCATCAAGGCCTCTACAAGTACTACATATTTCATTACTAGACACAAACGATATAATATATATATAGATCTATGAATGTGAAATATACATCACACACACTGAAAACTGATTTAACATATATCCAATTTATTTCACCATTTAATAGCAAGTTGGTGCATGTTAAAGTAAATATGTGTAAAAGTAAATAGAGAAAGAACACAATTCTGAGAAAAACTTATCAAGTACATTCACATTTTTAAAAAAACTTTTTGGGGAAGTGTTTTTTACAGTGCTCGCAACTGCATGAGGTCATAAGAGCATGCAGGACACACCAAACATTTTCAGTAGGAAGGAAATTTTGAATTTTGCCCAGGTGGCAGCCGAAGCCTACTCTTATTGATTTTGGACCACCAAGGGATCTTTAACGTGCGTAACTTGCACACGAGACCTCCGGGACTTTTCGTCCTTGTCTGAGAGGGCTAGGTGTAGATCTTACCTACCATAAGATCGAGGGTGTGGCTGAAAGACAGAAGTAAGAAGGAGCCAAGGAGAAGCAGTGGAAAGGCTGCAGAGGGAGTCGGGAGCCCAGAGGAAGGGGCAAAGGAGGTGAGGGGGAGGGGGCAGAAAGTGAAGACGAAAGAAGACGACAGAACATTGTTAGAGAGCAGGAAAGGATGTGAAAGGAGACAATTTGATAGAAGGAAATTTTCCGTCGCTACCCGGATTTGAACCCGGGACCTTTGAATGAGAGGTAAACACCTTAACCTCAAGGCCCTTAGAGCTCCCTACATTCACATTTAGTTAAAAACATACAAATTAGCCGGTGACTATTTAAAAAAAATTTTCACCAAAAAGTGAAACTAGACCATATGAATGATTCTGAAAAAGAAAACAAAGTACTATAGCTGTCAAAAAATTATTATAAAGGGCTTACAAATGTATGGTAAAAATTGAAATACAACATCTGTTCTGACCCTTGAACTTTACCTCAAACGCCAGTTTATAATCTGTAATCTCTCTCTTTGTCTTTCTTGCTCTTGCTACTTTGTGACATGTCCTTTTAATCCTCTCTAGCTCTTTTATGACATCATTTTGAGTTTGAGCATATTGTGCCAAGTGCAATATTCAGCTTGTCCCACTTCAACAGGAATAACTAGACCCAATGGTTCCAAAACGTTCTTGTTGCCATTGCACCGATCTGCTAGCTATCTATCCCTAGCATGAGAAAAAATATTGTGGGCAAGATGTCCAAATATGTACACACACATATATATATATATATATATAA